TTGGCTGAGCCTGGCTGAGGCTGACTAGCTAAGAAAAGGATCCAATACTCCTAGGAAGCAGAGGGACAACAGGCACTTGTAGGGTGTAAGAATTGGGTATACCACTCCACCTAAAGGGACCAATTGTCATTCTTGGTTTAGTAAATCACAAACTCAAAAGGTTGCATGCTAAATAAATGCAAGTTGGCTTAAAAATACTTAGGAAGAGAGAAGGGAAAACTCTCCAAGAGGGGAACAGCTAATTCTGTATGGTCACAGCTGGCTGCATGGCCCTGTGTATCCAGACAGATAATACTGCTTGTGAAGCACTGGGTAATTATAGGGGAGAGGGTGGGGACGACAGTGCTTTGTTCCTCCCTTCCCCACAAATTTTTGGTCAACTGAAGGCGAGGCCAGGCAGTAGGAGCTGTTGGAGGCTGCTTTGGCAGCAGGTCAGGAGCAGCTGGGTGATGCAGTGCAGCCTCCTGCATCCTGTAGGTGCAGCACTCCCTGGGCTGTGTAGGGCTCCAGGCTCAAGCACTGGGAAGACATGGGTTAGGGCTGAGCATTAGGCACTGGGGAAGGGAGAGCAGCAGCATCTGAAGGCCTGTGCCCAGCCATTAAAACTGAGTGGCAGAGGTCTGCTCACCTTCACTCTGCATCTGCTGTGGAAGCAGGTACTCCTCCTGGGCAATTTGGAGAGAGCCCACCAAAAACAAAGTAGAGAAAGTATAATGCTGAGGGAATCTTGAGAAGCATTGGACAGATGGACAGCAAAGAAGGTAGTGAAAGTGGAAAGAAGGTACAGTGGAGAAGGGGGTACATTTTTCTCCTAGAAATATACTGTATCTATCATGCTGATCACTGAGCAGTGCAGAGTGTGATGTGTAAACTACAGCTGCAAAAGCTGTTCTGACACCAGTTATGATGATGAAGCTTGTACATACATGACGTATCTGAGCTTTGGACTTGAATGTCTTTAGTGCTAGAGTTGAAAAAGTTGCTGACTTAGGCTGCCTTGAAGGCTCTGATTTCCAAGTGGTACAGACAGCTGTCTGTGTTCTGCAATTGCAATTACACAACAGCAGCAGCCGGACAGCCTGCCAGGACATCAGGACAGCCTGCTCTCAGCTGCTTTGGGGCTTTTCAGGACATCAGGAAAGTGGTGCAGAAAACAAACTCACTGTACTTCTGTACGTTCCATGAGCTGGAGATGAGCTGTCTCAGGACAGATTTTACTCTTGTGTCACCTGAAAACACCCTGTTCCAGGATACCTGATGCTCATACACAAACAAGCAGATGTACCCTCGTGGGGTGTAATGCTGATACTCACTTGGGGCTAAGGCAGCATATGGTCCTTGTTTCCTCTTCTAGAATATCTTGGGATTGGGATAAAAACTCTGTCACAGCTTGCACGTGTCAGTAGTTAGCGTTGTAGAGTCCATTCAGCTGTTTGCGTGCTGGCACATTTTCCACAGTTCTCCTCCTCCTTCTCCCCACTGCCTCCTTCACTGGCCTAGAGACCAAAAGGATTGCCCAACTTTTCCGAAGGGCAAAAGACACAGTTGGAACATACAGCTGACTTGGGGGGAGAAGCAATTAAAACCACATAGAGTAATCTCTTACCAAGATTGCTGCCTGTGCTCACAGGACTGCAGTCATGCTCTCTCTGCCTTTGCTGGACAGACACTTTTCCAAAGTAGCCACTGATATTTGCTGTTCATGCAGATGTTAGCCCATCATTCCTTCTGCATAATTCTGCCTGCCCATGTCTCAGGTACTGAAGTATTATCAGAACTGGATTTTGGCAACCAATTTTGTCTCTGGGCCTTTGCATGCATTTTTGTGTGACTGGACAGGAGTGAACAGTCCCAGTGCTCGTGCATGAACTCCTACAATGTGCAGTGGGAATTGGTCAAGGCCTGTGTGAAATGGATGGACACTGCTGATACAGCAGGATTTTGCTTATGGAAATGTGGGGGGAGATAGCATATGTGGGGGATACCTGGGGGGCAGTATGTTCAGTCTTTTGTAAAAAACAGGCAGGATCCAAAGTAATTTCTCTGTGAGAAGGATGAGGATGTGGCTGAATAGTGTCTTTTCAATCCTTTTAAATTTTGACACTTATGTTTCATTCTCTAAATACTTTGATCTTCCCCAGCACCCACTTGTCTGCAGATGAAGCTGATAACCATCATTCTAAGCTCTTTCCTAGCATTCTTTCTTATTCTGCAGTCCTGAATGAAATTCAACCTCATTATCCATAAATAACCTTTCTCATTCTCCCAGCTGTCTCCTAGAGCTAGTTCACTTATGACCTCTCCCTTACTGACTCTGTACTGACCTTGCACTTCCCCCACAGCCCTAATCTGCCAGTGTCTACACTCCTAAGCTTCCTCTGCTATTTTGCATGATTTTTTTGGGTTTTTTTTAATAACAAGGCCCACCATTTCCTCAGCTGCACTTCAGCAGTGTGACCAAGGCTCTTTATCCACACACTTCATACAGTGCAGTGACAAATTATTACCACTGCCAACAATTTTGATGCTTTCACCCCTTCTCTCTGATTCTAGGCTCTGGGTAAATCTATACTTTCAACTGTATTTTTCTATTGGCAATAAAATCCAGCACCAGTGTTTCCAAATTGCAGAGAAATGACAATTCCAGTGCCAGTGTCTTGTTCAAAGAGCAGTTTTTTGTCTTTAGTTGAATTTTTATCAGTGTGACAATAACCCCAGTGATTTTTCAATGGCTTTTATTAAACTACTAAGGGATTATTCAGTCTCACCTCATCCTCCCATTCAAGGCAATGTGAGTTCTCATCTGAAAATCTTGCAAATGGATTTGTTTTGGTTTGGTTTTTTTTAATGAAGTTAGACTGTAGAAATAATCAGTAATAACCTGCCAATGGACAGTTGTGGAAAAACTTTTTAAAAGAGTAAAGTACGCATGCACATAATATCTGCATGTACACTTTCTTGTTTTGTCATGCTGTTATCAAACAAAGCATTCCCCCCCCCAGTATTTGCCTGTCATTTACATAAATTTTTGTATTAGTTGAGTGGCAATTTGTTTGCATTCAAAGTGGAAAGCAGAGATTTTTTCCAATATTGATTTTTTTAAAATGACACCATGAATTTTATCTCTATGTACCTGCAAACCAGACTCATATATTTTACAAAGTAGAAAGCTTAACTCTAGGTGTCAGCACTGCAAACTGAATGTGCAGCTCTGCAAATGAAGTTTTGCTGTCTCTGACTCCTCCAGTGCCACCAGAAATAAAGTGCAATAGCAGTTTTGCTGACAGATCCATTAGGGCTGAGGAAGGGAGCCTGCACTTATGCTGAACAGCACAAGTAGGAAATATAGCATTTTCTTCTTCCACAGTCTTTTTCCAGCTGCACATGAGTGTGTTCTTATTAATGGCATCTAGTAAATAATGTTTAATGTAAAGGAAAGAATGAGGGTGAGATCCATCTCCAAACAGTGCTCACTGTTTCAAATGGGTATGTTAAGCCTTTTCCTTCATTTATTGTTAAATGCTTATGTTGAGTGGGTGTCCAAAGTTATGAGAGGGCACAGGAAGCTGACTTCTTTTTCTGGTTCTAACAGGCTCTGTAGATCAGCTAAATTAATGGGGTGGATGAAGTTTATGTGACTATTGCTTATACTTGAAACTGCACAGTAGCAGAAACATCGGGGAAGGAAAGACTTGATTTTCCAGCCTTTAATGCTAGCAATTATGAGAAGTAAATAAAAGCATTTCTGCATTGCAAGTACTGTGGTTATCCTAAAAAACCACATTTCTCAAAAGCACTGACTTTTGGCTTTGCATCTCAAAGCTTTACAAGGTGCTCTCATCTGGATCAAGTGATGCTGTTACGTATATGAGTGAAAAGCTGCTTCTTGCCATCCTTGTTGTCCATAGGCAACCTTTATCTGCATGTTTTGTTTTTGATTATGACCTGATGGCATTTGTCATATACTTAAAGTACTGTTAAAAGTGTGGCTGTCCTGAATGCACACAAGTGTGCTCCTGCTGAATTGGTTCTTCTGAAACACAATGATTCTGCCAGGGGACCACAGGAGTGTTCATGGCACAAAGAAGTAGTTCAAACAGTTTCCTCGTGTAACAAATCATTTTCCCCTCTTCAGATGCTGGAGCTTAGTGATAAAAGTCATGTCTCTGATATTTGGTTTTCACCATGTTCCTAAATCAAAAATTTGGTTGGGCCTTCCCTAAATTGCTGTTACCTCTGAGCTGTTCTTCAGCTAGTGAAAAAAGGCAGGACCTTGGAGAAGCACCTCCGTGAGTCATTGAGAGTAAAGGTAGCAGAAGCTACGAATGACATAGTGAAAAAAGCAAAAGGCACGTGAAGATGCCATCGGGTTGTGTGTGGTCTCTGGTAGAGTACACTGTTGTATGTGTGTCGTTGAACCTGGGCTGCACTTGAGCTGGTACTTCTGGAACACAAATCATCTATGGCAGTGACTTGTTTTACTCTCTTAGAGTACATCCAGACATCTAGTCTCCCAGCACATCTATAGGATAAGGAATCATAGTTACTTTCATATGATATAGAAACAAAAGGTTTATTTTACATATATATACCAGGAAAAGTCTGCCTGCAGTTGATTTCCCAAGCCCCGGGGCCTGGCTCCACCCATAGCACCATCTTCCCTTTTCACAGCCTTTGCTTTCAAAAATATTTTCAAAGAAATTGGCATGGGCAGAGTCGAAAAGCAAAACGATGGGAAGCAACAACCGAGCCCGCTGTCCGCTTTCTGAAGCAGGGCACCAGGTGTCTCACGGGCAGCCGCTTGCCGGCTCCCCGAGGCGCTGTCCCGGGGCTACCCCAGCCCCGGGCGGGCGCGGGCCCCGCCGCGGTGCGGTGCGAGCCCTGAGCGGGCTCGGGCGGGGCCGGCGCGGCATTGGCGGCGGCCGCTGATCTGCATTGACGCCAGCGCGGGCCGGAGGTCAGCGCCGCCGGGCGCTGCATTGGCTCGGCCGGGAGCCGGGGCCGGGAGCCGGGGCAGCGCGGGGGGAGCCGGGGCGGGGCGGCGCGGGGCGGGCGGGGCGGCGGAGGGGCCGCGGCCGCCGCTGAGGAACATCAATAATAACAAGGTGAGCGCGGCGCGAGGGACGGCGGCTGCGGGGAGCCAGGCATTTCCCTGCTGAGGGATGCAGACACCACGGCCCCGGGAACCAGAGCTCTCGCCGCTGCAGCCCTTGCCGCCGGGATGGGACGCTAGGATCGTTCTCCTTCTACTTCTCGCTCTTTTTAATTTTTCTTGCCCTTTTTTATTTTTATTTTTTAATTTTTCCCTTCTCGACGTTTCGCATCACTTCTCTGCCCAAAAAACCAACCGCATCATGGAGGCCCTTTGATGCGTCCGCCCGCCGCGCCGGCTGCCCCCGCGGCTGAGGGAAGCCCTCCGGGCCGTGCCCCGTTCCCTGAGGGGGCTCCCCGCGGCCCGGCCCGCCCCTGCCCCGCCGCGCTGAGCCGGGATGCCGCTGCGGCGGCCGCAGAGCCCCGCTGCCGCCTGACGGGGGGCTCTTCCTTCCTTCCGACGACGGGAACCTGAATGTCACCCCCGCGGCGGCCGCCCGCCCGCCCGCGACCGAGGCGGCGCGGGACGTGCCCAGCGCGGCGTGAGGAGCGCAGCCGGCTCCCCGGGGCGGCCGGGCGCCTTTGGCTCTTCGCTGGTATTTTTTAATAAATCGTTGATTTTTTTTTTTTTTTTTGGCCCCAAAGCACACCCCAAAGCGCACCCCCGGCACAGCGCAGCGCCGAGGGGACCGCGAGGAGCGAGCGCGGCTCGGCGGGAGCGCGGACGCGGAGGTGGGGAGCGGCCCCCGGCCCGGTCCCGGGTTAATCGGTAACGCGGAGCAAGCCCGGGTGAAAATGCGCCGCGCTCCGGGCTCAGGGGAGGAGATGGTGCCGTGCCCCCGGCCGCTCTGAGCGCCGAGCCGACGCCGAGGTGTGTGTGGTTTGGGGCTTGGGTGTTTTTTGGTGTTTTTTTTTTTTTCTGCTTTTACAAGAAGGAAAGAAAACGTTACCAAGATTCTCAGATGGCTTAGACAAATTAATAATAATCTGTGAAAATACGAAGTCGACCGGTTCTTGATTTCCCCCCTTCCCTCCCCTCCAGCTCCCCAGCCCACTGCTGAGATTGAGCTAAAAGGACCTGTTTCCTGGAGGACGAGGAGAACAGACACGTTTCTGGTGGTGTAGAAGGGACCGATGGCAATGCTTCAGAGTGTAGCGGAGACGCAGGAGAGAGAGTCAACCTGTTAACAAAATATTAAGCAGGGGGAAAATATCAACGGGAAGGAAAGATATATATACATATATATATATACACGTATATATATATACAATTTAGAAGTATTCCCCAGGTGGCCACAAAGCATGGGCTGTGTTCCAAGCACCAACCTCTCTGACAGCAGAGTGATCTGTCACAGTAGCAATGAGTCTGAGGAGTACAATTTCCCTCACCAGACCAACACAACCATGTCTCAACAGCAGCAAGGCAACCCCGTCCCAGGATTATTCATTAAATGCTACAACACATCCACTTATGAGGCGAGGACTAATTCCTCTAAGAAAGACAAGAGGGAGAACAGCCAGAGCATGGAGGCAGAGGCCCAGACCGGCAGATCCAATGTTAAGGTAAAAAGGGTGCTAAACACGAGCACTTTTCTCTCAGCACAGGAGTTGGCTGTAGCGGTTCAGCCCAGGGACTCTCCGGGCCGTTGTGCGGGAGCTTTTCCTGGCTCGGGCTTTACTTTCGTTTACAAACTAATCAGTGTCTTGGCGACTTTGTAGAGGTACCCAAGCCTCTTTCTTCGCTCCACGAAATGAGTTTTCCTAATTCTGGGAAGGAGAGCGGTGTTAACTTGTCCTGATGGGTCGCTGGGGTCGCTGCGCCGTGCGGGGGATGCGCGGAGCCCCGCGGTGCTGCCGGCCCGGCCCGCGGCTCTCTCCGCTCGTCCCCTTTGGACACGGGCACATCGCGGTCTGGGGCCGTCTGCGAGCCGGGCTGGTCGCTTTACACACCTCTTCCATTTGGAAAGTTGAAGGGAGAGCGGCAGCGTGTTTTGCTCTGGGTACTGATTTACATTAACAACTTGTTGACCTTGTCTGTTGCTGCAAATAGGGTGGTTTTTGGCGGGTTTTTTTTCCGTGTGTTTGCGCCCATACTTTTGAGTAGAGGTATGACACAAGACTGTATAGAGTTGACTGACACATAGTGAAAAAAACAGCGATCTGTGATTATTTTCTTGGAAGAGGGACAGTTAGTGGTTTGGAGTGCTTGTTTGTCTGTTTGCTTTTTATCTGTTTATTTAGGGGTTGTACTTTAGCTCCTAATGTTATAGATTTGGATTATATCTTTGCTTTTTTTTTTTTTTTTTGAAACTATTTTTTTATTTTGTAAAAATGAGTAGTTGCAAATGTAAGAAAAATCATATTGTAGCAGCCCTGGGGATATTTATATAACCTGGCTGTGATAAGAACTGAGATACACATGCTGTAAATATAAGATACAGGCTTGAGATGCAAGTGAGATCTAGCTGAATGTCAAGTGTTTTGCAGACTAACAGAAACTCTAATGATTTGTTGTTTTCTTATGTTTTTTACTTGCTTATTAAGACAACTTCTACAGTATTGACCTGGAATAATTTACTTCAGTTATGTGGGTGATTTTCTTTGATTGTTTTCCTTCAGATTTAGTAATCTTTGGTCATAGTTCAATAAGTTTCATAATTTAAAAAAGTCTTGAAAATTAGCAGACAGAGAGTGATGAGCTGGTGAGGAATTAACAATACTTAACTAAGAACATGAAGCTGAATGGTGGTATACTAAGCTAAATTTTTGTGTTAACAGCACTGCACAGGAAATGAACTTTACGGCCCTGTTCACACGCGATAGATGAGCTCACGGCATGTTTAACACAGCAGCCACGCTGAGGAAGCTTAAGTTGTCATCTAAGTCCTGACAATTGTTTTGCTAGCTGAATTTGTAATAGTGATTATAACTGAATGTTGCAAAACCTGAATCAAAAGTAGTCTTTTAAAATTTTTGTTCTGTGATTTTGTCTTGTGTGATTGTTTAAGGGGAAAAATCCCTCAAACCTGTTTCCAGAAGCATGTGTGGGAAGCAGTCTTAAGTTAGTTAAATTTTGTTGTTCACCTTCAAGAACTTTGTACAAATTCTTGTTACTAGGTTTGGATAATTCAGCCAGACACTATAGGTTGCTGTTGGTTTGTATGCATGCTGTCATCTCATTGACAGTCACTCACATTTTCATCACCCAGTCACATTTTCTGCCCCTGTCATCACTTTTTAGCACAGTTCTGTGAAAGATGGGTTCTGAGAAATGAAAATGGAGCTCTGTTTGTGATCAGTTGAATACAAAATCTGTTGGACACATCACGTGTACATTATTTTCATGTGCAAAATCCTGTCATAGTCTTTTGAGCTGTCAGGCAGCGTGATATTTCTTTCCCTGCTTTTATCATTAGTGTGTGTGGTAGGATCAGATTTGCAGTGCTAGATAACTGTGCTGTCTCAGAGATTGTGCTGGAGTGAGGAGTGTGGGCAGAGCAGTTCTCACAGCCCAGTGAAGTTGTTTGGAAAGAAAGAAAGAAAGTGTGAGCAAACTGAAAACAGTGTGTAGGAGCTTGAAATTCCTGAAGGCAAAAGAAGCATTGGGCAGGATGTTGTGCTGTTTTGTAATTAAAAGGATTTTTGACTTGAGGAAGAACTGTAAGAGTGAGGGTGCTACTAAGAACCATTGCTATTTCTCAGAGTGTGTAGTACACTCTTTATGACCCTGGGGATTCCTTCACACAAACATGAAATGCTACAAACCTGGTGTGCTTTGGGCACTGGTGGTGTCACCCAGAATTTGTGTGAATCGCCAGTAACCTGCCTGAATGACACTTTCACTTGGTTTCAGGGTGCTTTAAGTTGTTGTATATTCTCAAATTAAAGCCAACAGAACGCTGTGTTAGAGCTATGAACAAAACTTGGCCTGCATGTAAATTTCATGTTTTCACTTTGGCTGGCATTAGTGTTAAGTTCACTAAAACGTGCATAGTTTTGATAGTGCAGTAATATTTACTATTAATATTACTATTACTGAATCAGTTTGCTAGCTCTAGTGCACATTTTTCAAGTCAGAAAATGTAACAAAAAGAAAAAAAGTCCCTTGTTAGTTGTAAAATGGCATTATATCTATTGCTAACTAGCCCCTGACTTACGCTGGTTTTCTGTTCATGTCTTGCTGTATCCTTCTCCTGGCCAAATAGCAGAGGTTCATTTTCTGGATGGGTGGTGTGAGCATACTGTATTTTGTGATTTGCATCAATTTATAAACTGTAGCTAAAAAAGTGATGTGTTCTTTTCTAGTATGGGGAACCTTAAGTTAATCCACCCAAATTTGCAGAATAATTGTGAAAGTGGATGTGTGCAGAGGTAAATGCTGTAATATCTATTTCTGTTGTGTATGAATATGGTGACAGTATGTGAGAAATGGAAGACCTGTTTTAGGTCATGGCACCTATATTTCCCTCCTTAATTAGTATTTTTATATATGGCTTTTATTGGACAATTATGAGCATGTTGGATTAAGTGCCATATTTAAACAGTGTACCAGCCATGGAAACTCTTCCCTTAATTTTCAATGTATTGCCTCTGCAGATTAAACCCTGCACTAGTGAAAGATGAGCAGGACTTGGATGCAAGGACTGGGGTTTGATTATCCAGTGCTACATAAAGAATGTCAAATTACACTTAACCAGTACTGTTGCAAAGAGGAGTTTCTGATTTTTGTTTTAACTCTAAAAATCTCAAGGAAGTGGACTCAAGATTGTGACAGCCCTTTTCATATATATCAGTTATGATTTTCAGATATTTTTGTAGTTGAATTTGTGATAAAGGTACTTGGATTTATAGAAACCTGCTTAAACACCGTTAGAATAATAACTGTGTAATCTGTAACACAAGTGGAGTAAATGCTAAAAGGCATAAGGAATTCATGGGTGTTTATTTAGAATTGGCTGGGATATTCATAATCATATGCTATCCCAACATCCTGTGTGTGTGTGGCTCTTCTCCAGCGCATTAATATACACTGTAGCACCTTGATTTTGCTCTGTCATTCTTTTACGTATGTAAGATTTCCTTCCTCTTTCCTTGAGGAACTCTCCCTGTTGGTACATTTAATACAGAAATATGTGCATTTGGGTGCAAGGGGATCAGAGAGTAAATTCATACTTCATTTGTTTGAAATTAAAATTACTCCCAAGTCAGAAGGACCGAATGTGAAATAGTCTTTTGGTTTATCAGCTGATCAGTTTAAATCCATGCCCCTACAGCCAGTAAGTTTTCTGCATTCAAACCCTGAAATTGCCTGTGAATTTTGCAGTCACTGCAAACCCATGTTGCATAATTCTGCATAGGCTGTATGCTGTGTGGCACCTGCAGTGCTGAAGTGGATCTCATTTCAGCGGTTAACAGCACGTTATTTAGTCCATTAAGCTGTCTGCTCTTTTCCTCCCTGTCTGGTAATTCCTTTCCCTTGGAGCACATGAGCCCTCCCTCCCTTTGATACTCCCACACTTTCTGTCCATGCTTCCACTGAGGCCATCCACCCTCTCTTGAATCCTTCCTGTTCCCACTGAAACTGTCCTCAATCATTTCCCCGACAAACTTCCCATCACCTTTTCCCTCCCACTTCCACTGACGTCAGCTCTCCTGTACAGAGATCCTTGCTTGCACTCAGGATCCTTCCCACGCTGAGATACATGAACTTTCCTCAGTCTTTAGGGCTCCAGACTTTCAGATTGATACTTTTAATGCTGTTGTTGTAAGGCATGAACCCTTTCTCCCGGGGATGGGAGTCTAATTTTTAAATTGTATGAAGTGAAGTGGTGTAGTAACATGTGAACTGGGCTCATATTTAGGTCTAATTTTTATCTTCTTAACTTTCCTGTTGTTTGTTATGTAAATTGGAAAAAACCCAAACTATAAATCACTCACAGTATATAGAAGACTACGCTACAAAGACATAATAAGCTGTGGTTTCAATTTTTAAAGCATTATTATTGTCACTTCTTCTTGTCATGCAAACCAGCTCATGCAAAATGTGTCACTGCATCTGAGGGCAATTCTTGGTGTACCTGAGATGAGCAAGGTTGGACCCTGAATTTTTGGAGCATGTTGATAAAAACTTCACTGAAACTCAGCTGAAAATTTTTGTGTCTTTTCTGTTGTTCAATGCTGCTGTCTGAATTTGCTCTGTGACTTTTCCCTGGCCATTTTATGTAGTTAAGTGAAAAGCTTTTCCTTTTCTGCTGCCTGAATCTGTCAATAGAGGAAGTATTAAAACCAAGCCTTTATTTCTGCAGTTCTAGATGTTTTTCTTACTGTGTTGTACCTTTTGTATTCTTAATTGTATGTCTCAGATTGAAGTGTAAGTACATTTACAGTGAGAAATTTTCTACTTGTAGAGTGTACTTATAAACCAGGCAGAATAACAGGAGGTGATGTATTAATGAGTTTTTACCATTCCCAATATTACATGTGGTGTTAACAGCTTTGCCTTGCTATTTAAGATACCAGCAATTCAGATATTACATCCAAAATGCTAAGTTTAAGAATAAATT